ATTCCACATCTGAGCTAGATTTCATAGACCATTTTACAGAAGCTTTATATTAAAATTCACTAGGGGCTCTCCACTGTTACTCTCTCTTATCATTGTCTAAATAAAGTCAAGCAAGGAATACCAGTAAATTCAGTAATTAGTTCAAATTCAACATAGACAAAACAAGAATAAAATAATCTCATTTTTAAAAGTATCATAACTTTATAACCTTCCCATGTTTTCAACTTAAAGTTTTCATCATTTTAATAAAATTATGTAAGTGGCCAAGCATGACTAATTATAAGCAACGGCCAAAGATATAACATCATAAAAATTCTGATTACCTAAGGGAGTCCTAATCCAGAATCTATGAAACAAAAGCAAACTCTTACCTCTGTCCAGTTGTTTCAGTGGAAGACCTCCAAATAATATAGTGGAATAAAACTCCTAACCTAGATGTCCAAAATGCCAAGTTTGTGTTCTCTAAAATTGAGGAATGAATTCTAAGACAAAAGCAGTTAAAAGTAGGAAGAATTTAGTGAGAGAAAGAAGCTTCTGTCTGAGAAGGGCAGAGGGGGCCTAGAAAGTGGGTTGCCCCTGGTTTCCTTACAATTGTTAGTGGCCATTGAAAAGTAAGATTTAGCTCTTTCATGTAGCTCCATCATACAACAGAGCTCTCCTGAGTGATAAAGAGTACTTTTATTTCATTTACTTGATTGAATAACACAACCAAAGCAAAATCTTTGGTTGAAGTATTTAACACCTTTAAAAACAAAAAGGGCATCAAGGATAAGCCTTGGCTCTTAGAGACACATTTGCATTTAAGGTCCATGTAGCCCATGTATATATATCTTGAAAGCACATTGTAGAAGTACTAACAGCTCTGTCAAATGTTTTGGATAATGTGTCTTGGTAAAGAACAGGTAGACTAGGGTCCTGCTTTTCCCTATTTGTTGCAGTAAGACTATTTCTGTCATTGTCTCTCTGAACACTAGGGGGAAAATGAAAGAATATTACTTATGTTGTAGAGGAAGTGTTGGTAAGATCCTCTCAGCTGTTCAACAACTCTGTGCTGTTGGATTTGTTCCATCATTGACAGCCAGTGGATTGATGCATACACAACCATCATTAATGCTAATACAGCTGCCCAAATTAATTCCCAGTGCACTTATAAAGGACAGAGTTGAACATGCAGTGTGAGAATTCAGTGAGACCTCAGCACTTTGGGACTGATCTCACTAAAATAGTTATTTCTTCTCACAAATACTTGGTCTTTCAGAAGACAAATTGGTCTTTCTCATACCTATTGTTTGTTGGGAAAGAAAAAATGGAGAAAAAATATATGTTCCTGTTGGTGATTTACTATATGACCAAATGTAGAAAAATACATTTTTCAAAATATGAAACTATTTTAAAAATAACCCTAGTTATTGTCTCTGTATGATCTAATTTTTCAGAAAAAAATGAAAGATTACCTAAGCTCCATATGATTTTAAATATCCAGCTATATCATCTTCTGTAAAAAACAGACAAGAGTAATTGATTTTATTAATAAAAATTTTTATTCTGACATTTTAAATTTTGCATCATTTCATCCATGGATTATTTTAGGGAGGGTATGGTGAGAAATCAGGCATTGTTATTTCAAATTTTATGTTATTTAAAACACTTTTCCTAAGTAGTATTATTGTTCCTGGCCTCATTCTAATGTGTATTATAATGATTCCTTGGCATAATTATCTAGCTTTAGAGAAAACACCAACACAATGAATACTGTTTTCAAAAGGAGACAAGGATAGGGGATATTTTCTCATATTTCATGGAAATATTAATTCATATCCATACATCCACTGTCTACTTTTACTGACCACCAGATACACTTTGGGGACTAAAAAGAAGACCATGAGCACAAGTCAGGTTTTGCTCTTGTGAACCATAACTTTTAATGTAAAAAGGTAGAAATGAACATGATCAAAATATTTTTAATAGCTCTGATATTCATAAATTCCGTGAGCTATTATTATACAGCATAATGAGGATAGAAAGCTCTCGATAAGGTGGCTGCTCTTTTACCTGTAATTTTGAGACGTTAGGTTTTATAGGCAAAAGGCTTGTTGCTAATTGTTTACTACAGCTTATGTTGAGAACCAGATTTTGTGGAATATTGGAATAGAGAACCTCCATTCTTTTAAAGACTAGGGTGATGTACAAAATGGCCTACTCTGTTTTTCTCATCTATGGTGTTGCTTTAGTAGATGGAAACTTTAGCAGGAAAATCTATCACCAGTTTCTGGTCATATTAGACAAAGGCAACATTTGGGGAGACTGAACTCCTGAATTCTCTGCAGAATTCAGTATAGCATGCTTCCTTTCAGGTTAAGTCTCTCCTGACATACTTACTCTCCCCAGGTTAGCTTCTAGAGGCCTTGACGTTATTTATACTTGGAGGGGAGAAAAAAGAAAAAAGATTTAGATGAGTCAAGGAAAAACAATAAAAGTAAAATTCATGATCTCCTAAGACACCTTGAACTTTTAATCAATTTAATATTAGTTCAAATTGCTCCTTTTAAAATCACAGTCTTGTTAACTAAGACTAAAAGCACACTGCTAGCAATCAAAGTTGGACAGCTGATGCATACATTTACCATAATATTTTTCTTATTGTTTACCTAGTCTTAGAAAAAAGCAAATTATTCCTATTTAAAATTTTACAACAATATCTAATATTTACTGAACACAGTTAGCAGTCGCAATACTAAAAGCATCACATGCACTAACTCATTTTATGTTGATGGTGCTTCTATGAGGGAAATATTACTTTGTGCCCATTTTAGTGATAAAGTTAGCAAGTGCCAGATTTGGTATGAAGACCAAGGAAGGAGAAGTCTGAAATTTGGAGTCTTTTAAAAAGAAAAATCAAACATTGTATTGTTGAGAAGCTGCCTTAATGTTAAAGCAGTACAGTGATAACATTTAACACTTCTTTCTGCAGACAACATCTGGGAGTACACCTGTTGGGGAGCACTTATCATGAGTTCAAGATTTGCTAATGAGAGGACTGAAGTTAGGATCAAGACTTATTGATGTGAAAGGCTTTCAGTCTAGGAGTACATAAGTATTTCTCTTGTAAATAATGTCTCAGAGACCAGTTGTGCCAAAAGTGCCAGAATTTAATATTTTTAATGAGCAAGCAGGTATAGAAATCTGTGAATGATCACACCAGCCTCTTTGAGACCCTGTCTCACTGCACCTTTGTCAGTAACTCAGTAAATTCAAGGTTCACCTTCATTATTAACTCAACAAACACTGAGAGACTTCCATTTGCCAGACATTGTTGTAGGTAGTATGAAAGCAACCATGAATAAAGTGTGAAGATCCATGACTCTCATGAAACTCATAATTTAGTAGGAGTAGATTAATATCCAAAATATATAAAAGTAACAATGGCAGGAGAAAATATATCAGTGAAAAAGGGTAATGTATTTTTGGATAAACTATCCAAGAGAACTTCACTAGGAAGTTAACTTCTAAAACAAGGTGATGGTCCTGTTAGGAGATGTTATACCCAAAAGAATAAGATGATACAGAGATTTCACAATCATTTAGTCACATTATCTTATTTCTTAGGTCTTCTGATTGGCCCAACCACCATCACAACCAAATTAAACAAGTCATGTTGCAAATGTTTGTTTTGAATTGTGTACCTACTTGTGCATTTACCCACATTCATTTGCTGCATGTTTTCCTACATGTGCTTAATCTCTGTCATCAGATCCTAGAATTACTTTCTTTACCCACTTACATAAGAAATACATAATCTTCTGCACAAATGGTTACAAGTGTGCAGAAATTTGATCTTTGGTTAGGAGTATTTGCAATAGAATTCCTTCAGCTGGTTTTACTTAATGAGCAGGCAGGTAAGTGCACAGCTAGAACATTCAACAGGTGGGGAGGAGGAGACCAAGGCCACAGTCGATGCACCAGCAGTGGTTAGTTTCTAAAACTGACAGAAAACCTTAAGGAAATCATATTTTTTTCTTATTTTTCTGATGAAGCAGTTGAGATTTAATTGTCTATCCTCCCTGCAAATGATCATTTGAAGAATTATCTGAGTCACTCAGTTTCAAACATCAAACAGACAACTTTATTTTCAATGATTTCATTTTGTATGTGTGTATAGGGGAGTTTACTCCTATGTTTCTATGTTGTAATTAAATGGTAGATTACACAGTATTTGGGAGGCTGCAATGGTAACTTCTCAAACTGCATCATAGTATCCTTGAGCTTTAAAAGTTCTATTGAAGGTCCAATTTTGCTATTCAAATGATATGTTCTAGTATCAGCAGAATGCTGAATAACTTATCAAGAAAAGAAAAAGTTTTTTTTTTTTTTTTTTTTTTTTTGGTTTTTCTCCGGTACCGGGAACCGAACTCACGACCTTGCGCTTGCCAGGCAGGCGCTTTTGCCGCTGAGCTAAATCCCCAGCCCCATGAAAAAGTTTTGTATGACATACAATAAAATTATATTTAATACTATTAATCTTTATCCTTCAGCAAATGTATTATAGATTTAAATTATGCCATATTAAAATCACATACTAGCTACCCAAGAAAAAGCAGACTAATCGTAGTTGAACAGTTAATGTATGCATCTATCATTCCATTCCTGTTATGTTTTACTCAGGACTTACAAAATAATTATAGTCCATATTTTTAAAATATGATGTGAAAATATCTAATGATACTGCCCACACATCATAGACAGGCTTTAAACTAAGGGTTCAGTGTTTGTTATCTCGTTGCTTCTTCACCGCACTGCTAAAAGGAAAATACAAACCTATTTTAGGGTGGAAAAGCAGGAGTTGGTAAGGTAAGAAAACTTTCCCAAAGTTATGTAACCAGAGTAGTTTTAAGATTGGACAGACCATGTCCAGGACATTTGGTGCACTACTGCCATTTCCAGAGATAGGCAGAGAACACATTTTATTCAGAGTTAGTTCCTCATTTAATAGCTTTGTAGGCTTAGGTATTGTCACTGCACACTTGCCGAACAGGAATGTTCTGTAGAAAAATTAGACAATGTGTGTAAATGTTATTTAAAACTTTGATACCATAGTTTATTTCCTTAAAATAGTCTTTTAACCAAACGTTTTGTTTGACAGAGTATAAACTAAAAACAAAATGAAACTTTGTAAATATTTAAAGTTTCTTTTAAAATGCATTAATCCTTAAAAATAGTATTGTGCTGCAAATTTTTCAAAGGGAATGGTCATAGTGTAATGTTTACCTAGCACACAGGTACATATATTGTGTAAAAGATCTTAAAATTCCTAGTATAGAGCAGCATGGATCTTTATCACATGACATAAATACGTCTTCCTTCTAGCTTTTCTGTAGGAACATAAATATGCTAAACACAGAAAAGAGTTTTGGCTAAGTTTTGGTAGCTCAGCAGTGACTGAAGTACTCCTTGGCATCTTTCAGTGAAAATACTGATCAAACTATATTGGAAAACAACGTTTTCAAATAGATTGCCCTGAAAACCACAAAAATTGACTGAAGACCTGTCAGAATGTATGCTAAATTCCACCAAAAGGGCAAATTAGAAAATAAATCCAAAATGTTAGTTATATTTGCTTACAACATAAATTTGATAGAAACTATCTTAAGAGGAACATTATAGTGAAATTAGCAAGAAACAGATACAAATAGTTAAACTGAATAAGAAATAAGTCAAACCTTTTACATAATATGAGGCTTAACTGTCTGAATCCCTGGAGATTCAGTCTGAGAAGACTCCAAGTAAAGCACAATAGAATTTTGGTGTCTTTTAGTAGGTGTTCTACTTTTCATGTCATTAATACTTAAACTTTTTTTTGAAAAGGCTTTATTGAGGTAAAATTGACATGCAATAACTTGAATATCTTTAAAATATATTCTTTTGTGTTTTCTAATATAGGTACATATACCAAGAAAAGCATTACTAGACTCAAATTAATAAAAAGAATATTTTTATTTAAATATTTTCCTTTGCCTTTTTTGAGGGGGCAGGAATTGAACTCAGGATCTTGTGCTTGCAAGGCAGGTGCAGTGCCACTGAATCATACCCCTGGCCTGTACCATGTAATACTTTCTTCTCTTCCCTTCCTGCCAACTCCTTTCCCAAGCATAGAGTCATCTGCTTCTATCTACATATTAGTTCACATTTTACAGAATTTTACATGAGCAGAATCATATACTATTGACTATTTTTCATTATTTTGAGATTCATCTATGTTTTCTGTGCATCAATAATTTTTTGGTGCAAAGTATTGCATTGTAGGAATATGCCTCAATTTGTTTATTCAGTTATCTATTAAAGAACATTTGGATTCTTTTCACTCATTGACTTGACAAAGCTTTATGAACATTCATGAATGGGCAAGGAGGGAATGTGATATATTTCTCTCTACATGACAAGACTTCTATTGATGATTGTGATAATGATAATGATGACAACTGACATTAAGTAAGCACCTGCGATTAGTCAGGCACTGCATTGCATTCTGCATGTCAAATGTATATTACATGAGCAATTGCAACAAAATAAAGTTAAAGCTCAACTCAGGCACCCAGACCACAAAATTGTAAGATACTTAAGGGTATATGAGAAAACACTCAGAAAATGATTACACTAGACATATGAGGATGATTTCCATAGCTCCTGGGCAAAGACTGCTTCCTAGAAAAAGTCTTTGATTGACCACATCTCTTTTTACAGGAATACAGAGAGCTTTGTTTTGCTTTGTTTTTGGTTTTTCTCCGGTACCGGGAACCGAACTCACGACCTTGCACTTGCCAGGCAGGCGCTTTTGCCGCTGAGCTAAATCCCCAGCCCCTACAGAGTGTTTTAATTGGACTGCAAGGAGGGCTTGATGTACATGTCTTGCAGCTGAGGAGGCCTGAAATGCTTGAGTCACTGAGAAAGTCACAACTGAATGTGGTCAAACAAAGTGTGAAAGCAGGAGACAGCACTCAAGAAATAACAACACTTACCCCGAAGACCATGAAGACTGATTCGAACTGCAGCTCAGTGTTGCCCAGGGGACCCTCCAGGAGGATCAGAGCACTGAGATACCAGATCCGGCTTGTGGGTCCCTAGAGAGGCAAGCGAGAATGGAGCAGTGGCCAGGAGTCTGCAGTGAGAGAGCTGGAAAGAGCTCTGTGGAGTTTGCTGAGGCCTGTGGGTGATTGAGGCCTTCCTGACCCACTCTACTGGCAAAGATTTTCCTGTGTGGACTTCTCTTCCCTGCACTCCTTGTCCTTAGTGAGAATTTCCCCCTTTTAAATAGCAACTTATCTGGGAAAAGATGAAGTTGAGCAATCATGAGACAAAGCACCAAACCACACTGTCTCTGAACAGGTTACCAAGTACAGTCCTTATCTCCAGAAGAAAATGAATGGAGAGAAAAGATTGAAATCCAATTACTGAATCAAGACAGTTTGTAATGTTAAGTTATTATACAACTATATCAAAACATGAAGGGACTTACTTTCCCACTGGATAACTTTTAAATGGATATGAGGAGGTAGAAATTAACTTGCCTTTTGATTATGTCCTCGGTGTCACTGGTATGTAATATAATGATTACAAATGAGTTATTAACTCATAATAACATGTTCCTTTTGCAATTTTACTTGCTGAGTGTAAAAATTTTAAGGATAAATGCTCATGTGAAAAACAAGATATGTAGTTTTAAGTAAGAAATTCAGAAGAAAATAATTGTTGCCTCCACAAACTGTCACTTAGACCAGCATCACAAACAGCTCAGTGTTTGTGTTGACCTGCTTTGGGAGATAAAAAGGAGTTCTATCTCAAAGAGCAAGATTGTTTAGAAAGCACTTTGCAGATAAAAATTTAAGATGTGACTCCTTTGAGAAATGTTGATTTTGTTTCTGAAAATGCCAGTGTTCTAGTCTAGGTTCACATCATCTAGCTGCATGTCTTTCTCTGGAGCTCGCTGTTTGTTTTTAAGCAAGAGACATGAAAAATGAGGGTTCTGTATTGAGATGTAACTTGGTCACAGCAGAATGATCTCCATCTAGTTATATCACAGAGCTAGCAGAGCCTTAAGAAACTGGAGACAGAGCTTTGAAATGACAATTGCAAGTATAATGAAATCGTCACTTTCTTTACCCAAAGCGCTTATGAGTAGAGATGTTTTTCTTACCATTTGGTCTTTTCTTACATGAGGCACACACACACACACATACACACACACACACACACACACACACATCTACACATGCTCTGACTCACAATTTTGTGAGATAAAAATATATATGGCTTAAATAGAAGTTAACGCTGGCAAACTTATCCTGAACTTTGTAGCAGCATTTTTATTATCTTTCCTGGAAATGAATTCTGACTGCTAAGAGAAATTCCAGCACTTCTTTTATCTTTCTGAGTGGCAATGCAAATCAAATTTCAATAAACTTATTAATTTACATTTATAATAGGTTTAGTTTTCATCTTGCATATATTCTGAATCAGAAAATTCCTCGCATATCTTTTCCAGTTCATTTTCCAATGTTAGGGTATCACAAAGTGAATTTTGAGAAATATGTTGAATAAAGCAGCTATGATTTTAAATATTTAGGAAAAAATTTTCCACCACATTTGGATACGAAATATTTGAGCATATTTAAATTGAGTATATTACTGGAATAAATCTAATACTGCCCTGGATTCCAGGTTTAACGTTCTTCTTTCATTTTTAATGACTTTTTATTAATCTTATGATAAAAAATACAACATAATTACATTCAGAAATACTTTTTCCATCCCCAATTAGTGCCACTAGTCAGCTATTTTAGATGCTCTAATATGTAAGTGGTCCAAAGCTAAAAATATTTACATTTTAATTGGAGAAATAATTGAAAATTAGGGATATATATATATATATCCAAAATAAGAATATAGAAATATAAACTAAGTATCAAGAGCAATAAAAATTTTAGCTTTTATAATTTTTTGTGTCAGATTCTTCCTCATTCCGCTAAGCCAGATTTAATATAGTGTTATTTCATTATGAAGATGTTTTGAGATCAATATGGAAGGGTTTAGGTGATAAATTTTGATAAATTTTGGCCCATATGCATTTAAAAATATTTGTTGTTAAGGAAACTACTATGGAAGCACAAAACATTTCAAAGGAGTGTTAGTTATTTTTTAGCTGATAATGTTTCCCTAACTTTTCCTCCTTTTTTTAGCACTTAGTACTGTATTACTCAAATTGGTGCTCAATGTATATTTATTGAGTCAAATTGGATTTTGGAAACATTTTTGGTGATACAGAATGGATGGAAAGCAGTATCATGAATAACATAGGCTGAAGGTTGGGAACCAAATTTAAACAAGTAATGTATGTAGTACTTCATCTCAAATACTTGGTAGATGTAGTTACTTTTCAAAATTTAGACTTACTATTTGACTTTAAATAAACTTGGAATTTTTCACTTCAGATTACTTTGTGTGATGCTTATAGAAGATATGTACTCAAGGAAACTATATATATGTACACCTCTTTATATTATATATTTGTATAAATCAGAAAGATTTTATATATATATATATATATATATATATATATATATATACATACATATATTATACTTACCGTCAGTACCTGTGGGCAGACTGTCTCATTTGAGCTAACAATAATGCTGTGAGGTAGAGTATATCATTAGCATATTACCACTGAGGAAACTGAGGCTCAGTGAGATTAATTAATTTGCATGAATTCACACAATTATTAGAATCCAGAATTTTAACTGAAATTTGCACAGTTCCAATGCTACATGTTCTTTTTCATTGATCCTCTGTTTGAGGAATGAAGCAGTACAGAGGAATTTTAGAATGTTAACAACCTTTGGGGAAATGTTGACCTTTATTGATTAGAAAATTATGGTCACCTTTGTCCATGGTAGAATCAGGGATGTAAACATAAAGAACCAGCTGTAAGCAGTACCAGGCTGACAGAAAGAAGGTATCCTAAAAAGATAACTTGCTTCAAGAAATTACCGGAGTATGGTGGTGAATTTTGATGAGTTTCACAGTTGCTATTTATAATATTCAAATCAATAGTTCCTGCCCTGTAGCTGTGAAGTACACTAAAATTACCCAACCTTTGAGTATTAATTGGGGCAAGAAAATAGCAATGATATTTCCTTGGGATACAAAATTATATTTGTATTACTGCATACAAATAATATTCTCTTTCACTTGAATGAAAACAGATGGATAGAACCTCAATATAAATACTTATTTCTCATAGTACTGATTTTATGAGACATTGAAATTAGGCTTGAACAAGGGTTGTGAGCTCTGCTTAGTGTAATACTTTTATTCTGACAAATAATGTCCCTAAGACAGGTTAAAGCTGAAAGGACAGCTGAAACCCCTGTGAGTCAGGATTGCTACTGCAGTAGATATGTAGATAGTATTCTTTACCTCTGATGTGACCCTTACAAATTAATTACATATATAATAACTGGCCACCATGTAGATTATTCCTGCTATAGACAAAATTTAAAGGTTTTGTGGCTGTGGATAGAATATGTGATATTTGCAGAACTTATTGCTGAGTTATTTCAGTCGCTCAACTTTTCTAACTTAAAATTTTAAGAATGAGCAGCAAATTCTATTTATTGCATTACTATGATGATTCATGCCTACTAATGGTAAATTAAATGGTTAGTAATGCATGGTTGAGGTTACTGGAGATGTGTTGTACGGTGTACTATTACAGATGTTGCACTCGACACAAACTCACTATAGAAAAAGTACACGGAGATTTTGTTTATTTCTTAACAGAATTTATGTATTTTTATGTGCTATTTTCCATAAAATTAAAGGTGGTATTTCCCAAGGTAAATTTGGAAAAGAACTACAAAAATTTATATGGCAAGATATATTTTGATTAGGATGTTCTCTGTTACAGACTTAGTCCTAGTAGAGCTCTGCTTCTGCTTCTATTCTGAACAAACCCTATCACTCTCTGCATCTTTATACCCAGCGCTTCATATACTTTTCTTTAAGCACATTTGGTGAATTAAGGAGGTGACATCTATCTGAGCCCAGCAGTCTGTCGCACAAGACTCTAAATTCAGTTTTTATTTCAAGAGTATATTGAGCAGCAAGGGCTTGGAATTGCAAATCTAGCTGTGGTGTGACGTCTCTGGATAAACCCAGCCAGTACTTTAGCATTTCCATTTCCTAACGTGGAGATGGGAAAGACAACTGGGGGAAGGGAGAAGTGAGTGTTGGAGAGAAAGGGGAAGGAAAAATGATTAAGATTTAATCCCTCAAGATGAATGGAATTATGTATCAGAAACATGTACCAATTCAAACAGAAAAAAGTGTTCAGAGGTTTGTTTTTAAACAAAGAGCTTCAAGATGGATCTAGCTTTGAAAAGGAATATTATCAGTGGAAAACTAGAATTTGTCCAAAATACTCCTCTAGGCAATCTGATTCTATGGGGTCTCTAAACTTTTCATTTTCTTGGAACTATTATATCTCAGAGAGTTTTAGATAGCTAAGAGCAATGTAATTGATTCCAACTCATAGATACACATAAATTCTATCTAGAGGATATTCACTGAATTCTGACCGGTACTGTGGAAGACACCAACTTTGTGTCTATTGTGCACATTTATTTTAGTCTTCATATGGTTTAGAGATCTGTGAATTCTCTTTTGAAGTGATTGAGCTATGTTAGTGACTACCCTCACTAACTGATGCAGTAATACATCAATTGGCACTCGTTCATCTTAAAAAATAAATGTTATTGACAACTTCACTATGATGATGGACAAGTAAAATAACTGGAGGAATATTATATACTGTACCTTTTATTTCATTATTAGTGAAGCACTGATTGAACCTACTAGGGTAGGGTAAGAAGAAAGAGAAGAATATTAGAAAAAGTCCTTCTAATAAAAAATAAAAACTACACTGATTGAGAAGCAGGACAACAGTGTAAGAACAAGGAATGAGGAACTGTAATTTTATGATCTGTTATATAGCACAGTACAGCATGTAGGAGCTATGCACATAAAAGCAGTTGGAGTTTCCATTGACCATTTCTTTGTCCTG